GTGGACGCGCGGTCATATGCGCACAGACGATGCGCGCGATTTTCTTGGCGGTGAACTCGCTGGGCTGTCGCTCTTCTCGTCTTCTCCGCGATTTGAAGGAGGGGGGGGAGAGGGTTTGTTCGTGGTACTCCCAGCGAGAACAGGCCGTTGTGTCAGCGTGGGCGCGCGCGTAGAGCAGACGCGGCCCGGTCCTCCTGCGCTGCAAGGTTGAGCGGGTCGCAAGGCGGCGGTGCGTGCGCTGCACCTTCGGCGCGCCAACTGCAGCGCCGCTGAAGATGTCAACCGTCGTCGGACGCACAGCGAGCGGCGCGCGTTTTTGTCGGCGAATTGCGGCTGGCCGCGTTGGCAGCAACGCGCCGATGGTGCTGATGGGGGCGAAGGCATTGGCGCCCTCCTCGCCGTTGTGCGCGGACACGCGAGGTACGTCCGCAGGGCAGATATACCCCTGCCAAAACTGCGGTCGCGGCGTAGCGAGCGAGGTGTTAGGGGGCGCGGCGCGCCGCTGCCGCGTTCTGCTGCAGTCGATCCTGGGCGAGCTGCGGCAGTAGACGCGCGCGTGCCAACGTAGCGGCGGCGCGGGTCTTGCCGCGTGAGTGGCCTAGCTTGCAGAGTGGTTCACACATGCGTGCTTTTGTAGCTGTTGACCAGGAAGCGCCCCCAGCCGCCGCGCGCGTCAGCCGGCGCGTCGAGCCCCTACTGAAACCGAACTGACAACTGTGAAGGTGGTTGTTGTTTAGCAGCCAGCGCCCTGCTCTTGACTGGAGGTCGAGGCGGCGGCGTTTTGCAGCGCCTCTCGAGCTTGGCGTCTACGAGTGAAGGTCGCGGCTGCCGGCGGGAGCCGGCTGCAAAGCGGGCATCCATTGGCAACCGCTTCCGCGGGGGGCATCGGGGTGGTAGAACTGGTTGGGGAGAGCGAGCAGGGGGAGAGAGACTGCGCAGAGGCAGAGCTGGGCGGATCTGGAGACCGCGCGGCAGCGCTGCCTCGCACTTCCTTCGTGCCGCGGTTGTTTTCGCGCGCCCTCCTCCTCCCGACTGTTCTCCTAGTCCTCTGTCTGGCGTCGTCCTCCTCGCCTCGAGTTGGTCGTGCGTCCTGCGGCCCCAGACCCTCTGCGCCCCCCTCGTCCTCTAGCCCATCCAGCAGCAGCTGGCGCCCCGTGGCCCGCGGCGCGGCGGCGGCGGAGATTGAGTGAGAAGTGAACCCTTGGACAGGCATTCGCATCGCGCGCGCAGCCGCGGGCGCAAAAACGCCGGCGTGCGCGCGCATCATGGCCAGGCAGAGCAGCGCGCAAACGTGCGCGCCAGCCCTGTCGCAGGGCGCCGCGGCTCGGCGCGCGCCCCCCCCCCCGCGCGCCCGTCGCCCGACGCAGAGCGTGGCAGACAGGCCGCGCGCTCATAGCCGTGGAAAGAGAGGGCGGAGAAGACGGCCCGGTAGAACACTACGCACTGCGCGCGGGCGAAGATGACAAAGAGGAAGCAGGACACTGTGATGGTACACTTAAGAACACGATGGTTGTGGACACGTAAATCGAGGACGAAGCGGCCGGGATAATCAGCAAACGATCACCATATCAGATCAGCCCAGATCGAAGATATAACTGACAAGCAACTACACGTGATACCCGAGAAAACGGAACGCGTGCGTCGTGGAATCAATCGGCGTAGAACATAATCATATCCTTCGGGCGCAGACCAACGAGCGCAATCCACAGGTCGAACACGCTATGCTCGACGCTGCGTGGATTTGCCGGCCCAGCAAGGGGCAGCGCGGCCCGTCGGAAGGGAAGTGGGGAGCTCTGTGGAGCTCGGCCCCTTGGGTCGTCAGGCGCCGGCTCAACTGCGCGCGCCGACCGCGAGCGGCGCGCGCCCTTGGCGAGGGGGCGCCAGGCCATCGAGCCGGCGGGCGAGACCTCAGTGGAGGCGCAACACTGCCGGACGGCGGCCCAGCAGGAGACAGCGTGCCGGACAAGTCAAATGCCAGACCCGCAGCAAGTAGCGCGTTGAAAGTAAATCGCGCCGAGTAGCGAATGCGCAGCTGAAAAAGCGGCGCGCAGCGAGGTAGCACTGCCCGCGTCGGCTGGCCTGCGCCTTCGCTGTTCCTAATCACTGAAGCGGTGGCGTGGCTGAATAGGTGGACTGAAAAAGAGATGCCGGGCAAAACTTGCAATTTGGCAAAAGTGCGCGCGAGCTGACATCGCATGCCTGTTGACCTGGCCCGCAGAGGGTCCCTCTGTGAGCTGCGCCCCGTGCGACGTTGCCGATTGAGGCCTGCGCGCGGTTGGGAGAACCAACGTGGGTGCCAGCAGGCACTCTGGGAGGTGGTTGGAGACGAGCTTGGCCATGCGCAGGTGCGCTCGGCGCGCCAGCCTGCGCGCGGCCGCGCGGCCAGGCGCGACGGCGGCCCTCGTGCGCGGCGCATAGCGTTTTCGGGCACGAGCGTGGCGCGCCTCTGCCTTCGCGCGCGCTCCGGCGCACGGCTGAGCGCGCTGATGTCCAGCGCGCGCTGCAAGGCGCGCAGGTGAGCGCGGGCGTTGCGCGTCGCGCGTGCTATTGCCGCTGGGCAGCGCCCATGCCCCGGCGTGCGTAGCGCGACGCCTGGGAGCATCTGGGAGCGCCAGTGCACAGCAAACTGCGCTTGCGCAGCTGCATCACTGGCCATGGGCAATGCCCCAGGCGCGCTGAGCAGCAGGCGGGTGCGCATAAGTAGCGTGCACCACGAGGCCTGCGCGCCGCGCGCTGGCATTGCGCATGAGTGCCCCCCCACCAACAAGTCCTGCATGGTAGGGCAGTTGCCGCTGAAGGGACATATCTGCGCGCTTCTCTGCCCGAAGCTGCCGCGGCAGTGCCGCGTGGCCACGTGCCGAGACCGAATGGCACAGCGCAAGGCGTAAGCGTGATCTCGCGGCTGAAGGCACGACAGACGTGTCAGCGCGTCTGAAGCCGCACGCCCTGCGCATCATGCGTCCGTGCGCAAGGGCGCACCGCATGCACCTAGAGCGTGGGGCGCCGAGTGCTGCTGTCAAGTGAATGGCGCAGCTCTGCCCCGATGGCCTGTCAATCGCACTCAGCAGTGCTGCCCCGTTGAGTAGGTGGACGGGCGGCGCGCTGGTGACGAGGCTGACGAGTGGTCGTGGCCACGGAAGCGCACGGTGCAGCGCGTAGGCTGGGCCACTCCCCTGTTCCATTGGGAAAGGTGTGTGGCAAGGCTTCAAGGCAGCGCGCGGCACGACAGCACTAGGTGCTGGCCACATGCCTGGGCGTCTCATCCTGAGTGCTGTAGGTGGCAGCGAGGTCCCCGTCGATGTCCGCGTCAAAGAAGAACCAGAAGACGACGCACAGCACCTCGAAGTTGCCGAAGTGGTCGACGAGGCGGATGAGACGACGAACCCAATGTAGCAATGGTCGTGGCGTAGCTGACGTGCCGGCTGCATCTGGACGTAGTGTCTGCAGCCCTCGCTGGATGCGTGTTTGGCCAGCTGCGGCCCACAGTGGGGGCAAAAACATGCATCGGCGACATCAGGTTGGTGATGAATGGCTTGCTGCCCCCGAGCGCCAATATGGAATTCCTACTCGATAAGACTCCACAGCGATGTGAGCTGCGGAAGCGCCTTGGGGCTCGAGCCTGCGCAGGGGCGAATGCCACATTGAAGCAAGCCGTAGTAGTGCCGTTGCCCTTGCCTGACGACGAAGGTGGTGAGATACTCATGTACAGTGGCGTTCAATGCTCCACTCGGGTGGTGCGACGCGCTCGCAAGGACAGCCAGCACTGTCGCACACATCGCGAGGCACGGCCCTAGCCCAGGGAGGGTCCTCGCAGTCGTGCCCGGCGCGACGCTGCGGCCAGTGCCTGCGGGGTGCGATGGGTCGGGGAACGTCGTGGCGCTCCCGTGGGCGCGTCGATCGACATCGCGGTAACGCCTGCAGCTGCTGTCGCCCTGCGCACCTGGACTCTCGCGCGTCTCATACCGCACGGCGTTTGTCATCATCGCAGCCTGTGAGCGTCCAGGGCGTATCACCGAATGGTTTGCAGGACAGCACTGGGCACAGGCCGTCCGTGGGACGGAGGGTGGTATATCAATGACAAGATTGGGGAGAGTGCGAATGTGCGTCAACATCACACTACGCGCAGTCCCGTGTATCGCGGGCTGGGAATGATCCCAACTTCGCTACCAACTAGAATTGCGGGTGGCCGTGGTGAGAAATAAAAGACATGGAGGCAATGGTAACATGAGAGATGGAAGAGCAGCTGTCCTTTCCCTCTTACTATCGTAGCAGGTGCACTGGCTTGCTGTGAGCTGTACGGCAGCGGACCACTCAGATACGAGTGAGGAGGAGGAGGAGAAAGAGGAGGAGGAAGAGGAAGAGGAGGAGGAGGAGGAGGAGGAGGAGGAAGAGGAGAGGAGACAGCGGAGGAATCTCACATGAGGAGGTAAGGAGGAGGAGGAGGAGGAGGCGGAGGAGGAAGAGGAGGAGGAGGAGGAGTAGGAGGAATAATAATATTAGTCAGGTGAAGGTGGACAGCAGCATGAGCAGGAAGTGGATACTGAGGAGAACGAGGAGAAATAGAGGGCAGAAATTGCATCGGTGCCTCCTCCTCCTCCTCCGCCTCCTCCTCTTCCCGCTCCTTCCTCACCCTCGTCTCCTCCCCCCCTGCCCAGCTCTTCCTGCCCTCCCAACGTCCTCAGAGGGGGGGCGCACGCATCGAAAGACTCCCCGCAGCAGAAGCAGGCTGGGCCGTCCCCAGACCTCCCCTCGACAGCCCGACCCCGCCCGACGCCATCTCCAGGCCCCCCGCCCACTCCTCCTGCCCCCGAGCAGGTGGACGACGACGAGGACGACGACTAGGACGCAGACGAGGATCGAGGACGAGCACGCCCCCTCCGCCACATGCCCCCCCTCCAAAGCCCTGGATCAGTCGCGGCCCTCCGCGACAGCTCGCGTGCGGCCGAGGGGACGGGCGCCGGGCGCCACAAGAGGGTCCGAGCGCGGGCCAGGGCGGGGGCCGTGACGACGAGGACGATGGAGGCCATGTTCGCCGTCGCCTCCTCCGGGGGTCACGACGTGGAGGACGGCGGGGAGGGAGAGCCTGCTCGGCGGCGACGGGGCGACACGAGGGGGTCAGCAGGAGGGGGCGCAAGTCAGAGGAAGCCCCCCCCGCACCCGCGGCAGGGTGGGAAAGGCAGGCAGGGACGGGAGAGCGAGGGGAAGGGAAGAGGAGAGCGGAGATGACGCAGAGCGCGATTGGCACACCCTGCCTGGCACACCCTGCCTGGCACGACTGGGTAACCCTGCACTGGCACAACTGGCACACCCTGCCTGGTACGACTGAGCACACCCTGCACTGGCACAACTGGCGCGCCCCGTCTGGCACACCCTGCCTGGCACGACTGCGCGCACCCTGCGCTGGCACACCCTGCCTGGCACGACTGGGCACACCCTGCACTGGCACAGCTGGCACACCCTGCCTGACGCACCCTGCCTGGCACGACTGCGCACATCCTGCACTGGCACAACTGGCCTGGCACGACTGAGCACGCCCTGCAATTTCACATCTGGCACGCCCTGCCTGGCACACCCTGCCTGGCGCGACTGGGCACACCCTGCACTGGCACATTTGGCACACCCTGCCTGGCACGACTGAGCACACCCTGCACTGGCACATCTGGCGAGACCTGCCTCGCACACCCTTCCTGGCACGAATGTGCACGCCCTGCATTGGCACAACTGGCACACCCTGCCTGGCACGACTGGGCACACCCTGCACTGGCACAACTGGCGCACCATGTCTGGCACACCCTGCCTGGCAGAACTGCGCACGTCCTGCACTGGCCCGACTGAGCACACCCTGCCCGGCAAGACTGCGCACAGCCTGCACTGGCACGACTGAGCACACCCTGCCTGGCACGACTGCGCACACCCTGCGCCAGCACAACTGGCACACCCTGCCTGGCACGACTGCGCACACCCTGCGCTGGCACAGCTGGGGCGCGCCCTGCCTGTCACACCCTGCCTGGCACGATTGTGCACACTCTGCGCTGGCACGAGTAGCACACCCTGACTTTCGCGACTGAGCACGCCCTGCACTGGCACAATTGGCACACGGCACAACAGAACGGCCACGGTACGTGCGTACAGGCAACCGGCACAACTGGCACAGCTGGCGAGACTGGCATTGAGGCCGCAGCGCGGCCGTCTTGGCAATGATCCGAGTCATCATGGATCGCGATGGCGCCTGGCTGATGGCCTTCGCCAGTCTCCCAATCAGGTCCGATACGTACGATCGCTGTTCAGGCTGAGGCACAGCCTTTCGAATGTGTCAATGGCCACGCCGCGCACAGATGAACCGGTCATGCACTTCACGAGATGGCGGACTCAAGGTTCAGAGCTGGAGAGATGGATCCACGCAGCGTCTCGCATTTCATCGCTGAACCAAGCCATCGTGTACTGCGGCCAGATGGGAATCGCAACGGGCGGTCCGTTGGAGGTTTTTGCTGGTTCTCCGTTCGCCACCGCCTCTTCTGCCGGGACGAAAACGCAACGAACATCGCCAAGCTCTTTGTGGCGCCCAGATGGCATCCCACGCAACACTGGAGATCATCGGCTTCCTCCTCCGCTCGCCCGCTGGACCTCTCTTCGAGGAGCGTGCCCGGCGCACGGGGTCCGCAGACGCCCCCCTCCCGACGATTTCGGGCGGGTGGGTGTTGACCGAGGAGTGCAACTGGCCGCCGCTGGCGCGGAGGACCGCGGCCGGCCGCCGCTGGCGCCTGACAGCGAGCAGTCTGCGACCGGATGGCGCCCGTCCTCGGCATCACAATGGATCGCGATAGGGCCTGGTTGATGGCCTCCGCCACACGCTGAACGGTCCGCTTCCTCGTCCGAAGTCATCGCGTTTTCGGGAAGGGCATCCCCTGACAAGGGCATGGCTGCTCCGTGCGGTAGAATCTGCCGTGCGTGCGTGCAGTGAAGAGTTCAGGCCGCGCGCACCGCGGCGCGGGCGATGCTCCTCGCCACAAATGGGCCAAAAGGGACTGAGGCGCGAACGAAGCAGAAGGCCGCTCCCCCCCCAGGCGGGCGCCTCGCTCTCGCTCTCTCGCTCACTCCCTCCCCCCCTCTCGGGTACATCATGGAAAAAAGGCTCACGGGCGGTCTGGCGCCAGCCTGGCACAGCAATTCCCACCATGAATACGCAATGGAAAACATCCGTCCTATCATTCACGCATGTTGCAGCCTGGCTTGGGCAGCCACTGAAATGTCTCGCGGGCGCGCTGCCTCACTCGCCCGCCGATGCGCTCGGGCGTGGAGAACGGCAATGTCAACAGGTCCCCTTTCCTGATGGGCTGCGCGTTGACGGCGAAGGGCAGGTCCGATGTGGTCGCGACCTGAATGGGGAGCTTGAATCCCTTCGGCGCGACGCCAGAGTCCACCTGGCACGTCGGCACCGTGACGAGCACTGAGGTGAACTCCACGCCTGGCATCGTCGACTGCTGCGCAGCCCGCAGCCAGGCCCGAAGCGGGGCTACGTTCTTCAAGGGCCATTTCGCTTCTTCTGGTCCTTCCCCTGGAGCACAAGGGGAAGTCGTCGTCGGCCCTCGCCCCCGTCCTGCGCCGATTCTTGGCTCTCTCTCGTGGAGGTGACAACTTGCACCGAAACAATCATACTCTCGTGCGGGGTCCTTGTCGTACCCGCCACGCCGACGTGCTTCTCGAGGAAGAGTTGGGTGTCCTTGTTTGCCTCGGGCACCGCGGTGGTATCTGGGAACCGAACGAGCTGGCGCCTCGGGAAGTCGGCATTGGCCCTCACTTGCAAGGTGAGCGCGAACTCGAACCCATCCTGTGTCTCTGCAGAGAAGCATTTCACAAAGAGCGCGACCAGTGGGCCCCGTGTCTCTTTGACGAGGTTGGGCACTGTGGCCACATGGCCCTGCATCAAGACGCTCATCAACATAGTCTTCAGGCAGCCGACGGAGATGTCATGGAATTCGTACGTGGAGGTCGGCACCTTCAACTCCGAGTGTTGGGTGTCGCATCTTTCTCTCATTCTTATCCTTGAATTCCTTCGGCATCATCCTCAAATCGCCCGCGTTGACCGCGAGGCGGTGAGCAGCACGACCTGGTGGTGGGATCAACTCGACTGTAGCGTCGTCAGGGGGGCTCACGTTCAGAGGTCGGCTTTGACCCACTGTACCTCGTCCCCTCCGTTCGTCGGCTTCTCAGGATCAGTTGCGTCTGCTCCATATCGGGGCCTCTTCTCAGGCGGCTCAGTCACCCCGGGGCCGCCGCGGTCAGTCTGCGCGGGCAGCTCAGGAAGCCGTGAGGACGAGGCGCCCGCGGCGACATCGGGCGGCAGTTTGGGACGCTCGTCGGGGACGACACTCAAGGTCCAAATCCTCATTGGCCCGCGGCGCATCTGAAACCTGGACCTCCTTTCGCCTCGTCCTGCAGCGCCTCCTCGACCTCCTCGCCTCACCTCCAGCGATGGCGGGGCGCCTGGGCCCCCCGCCGCTGGGACCGCGAGACCGTCGCCACTGGAGGGGCCGTCGCCGCTGGGGGGGCCGTCGCACCGGGGTGGCCGTCGCCGCTGGGGAGGGGGCCGTTGCCACTGGGCGGAGGAGGGAGGAGGGAGGAGGAGGAGGAGGAGGAGGAGGAGGAGCAGGAGGAGGAGGAGGAGGAGGAGGAGGAGGAAGAGGAGGAGGAGGAGGGAAGGAGGAGGAGGAGGAAGGAGGAGGAGGAGGAGGACAGGAGGAGGAGGAGGAGGAGGAGGAGAAGGAGGAGGAGGAGGAGGAGAGGGAGGAGGAGGAGGAGCAGGAGGAGGAGGAGGAGGAGGTTGGAGCGTCTGGGGGGCCGCGTGTCTTCCCCACCTACCGCCTCTGGGGGCGGGGCCACCTTCGGCGCTGATCACCGAGGGGCATTTCGACAGCTTGAAGTGCCGAGCGAGCGAGCGAGCATCAGTGTCACTAAACGGGATGGCACGGGCTTTGCTCTCTAGGTGAGCCAGCCGATAGAGCTGAAAATAAAACGCGGTGAATTTGAACGTCTCGGGGGTGGGATGGATCAGGCCCAGAGCCAGGAGGGGGTCCAAAAACGTAGGCGCGGGGAGGTCAGCTCTTAATTGCCTACGGGCAAGCCGATACATCGGGTCGCACCAACAAAAGTAATGCTTCAGCGAGTCGCGAGCCCCAGGGCATCCCCAGACGCAACGCCTATACGAGTTGCGCATCCTGGACTCGGTGATCCAGCCCCCTCCCCACGTCTTGATGCAAGCACTGCGCCAGGACGGCGGAATGCGATGCATCACCGCAGCGACGGCAGACCAGTCGATCGCACCAGCGTCGGCAGCGTGGACCCCAAACCAGCGTCGGAGGCGCTCTTGCAGACGGAGATGGAGGCGCGGGAGCCGAGGGTCGGAGCGAAGGTACGAACGGAGGAGGGAGGAGTAGAGACACTGTGGCCGCACACGCCGCAGGGGAGCATGCCGCTCGTCCTCTGCAGCTGTGCTGGTGCGCCTGCGACGGGCCTCGCTGGAGGCGGCCTCGCGGAGGGCGCGCGCGGCCGACGGGCGTGGGCCCGTCCCGCAGCTCGACGCCGCTCTCTCCAGCGTCGTCGCAATGACATCAGATCGCCACCAGCAGGGCCACGGGCATCCGCGGACCGCGCGCACCAGTGGCAGGCGCCGCAGCGCGGCTCCACGGAGCTGCCGCGCAGCCGTGCGCCAGGAGCCCAGCGTGACCACCGCCGCCCGCACTAGGGCTGCCTCGCAGAGGGTCGTGGCGGACGGGATCTGCGGGCCGCCGACGGTGCTGAGCTCGTGCCACTCCCCGCCCCCCAGGAAGCTGCCAGGAAGGCGCAGCAGGTGCGCCAGGCTCCCACGCTCGAGCTCATTCAAAGTGGCGGGGGCCTCCATCATCTGCGCCTTGTACGAGAGGACGGGCACGCAGCGCTCTTGGCACAGGTGGATGGCCGCGTGCACGTCCGCGCGGCTCCTGGAGATCTCTCCGACGCGTTCGGAGTCTTTCCTCATCGGAGCACGCCATTGAGCCTCCTGCGT